ATAATATATATATATATATATATATCTGATTGTTAAAAAGAGTATACTTAAATTTAAACTAGTTATATACCTTACATATATACTATTCATTCACCACTTAATCAGTAATTGCTTACAGTGGACCATATAAACCTGTTATGCTTTTGTATTTCAATAACAATTTATGATCAGTAATTATTATGTTCCAATGTAATTCTTGTATCTGTTTTCAAAGTTAACTATTACAATTAAACCCCTATATTTGTGTTACTAACTAAAGCATAAGTAAGTACAATGAGGTAACATTTCACATCTAAAAATTCCAAAAGAGCTCACCACTGACTGAAATATAGACTGAGGCAGTATGAGACTAGTTCATTAAAGACTATGTCTGAGCAGATGGCCTACCATAAGAAAATTTATTGAAATCATCACAAATGCAAATTAAAACCACAAAGTCACACTGTAAGGTTGGCTCTTATCAAAACATAAGAGATAAGTGTTGCTGCAGAAGTATAGGAATGCAAACTCAGACAACCACTATCAAAACAATATAGAGGTGCTACACAGAGATAGAAATATAACTACCATATGAACCAGAAATCCCACTCTGGGTATATATTCGAAAGAAATGAAATCAGAATCTTAAAGAGGTATCTGTTATCCCATGTTCACTGCAGTGTTTGCAACAGTCAAGATATTCATTCCAATATCTATTTTACATGCATTAGGATTTTAGCCTTAAGACAGGAAAAAAAGTCCTATCATCTGCAACATCAAGGATGAGTTTAAAGGACAATGTACTTATTGAAACCCAAGACAGATCTATAAGGACAAACAATGCATGGTATTTGTATGTAAAATCTAAAGTAGTGAAGCTTGGAAAAAAGACAGCATTGAATGCTAGCTGTCCTGGAGTTTGAGGATGGGGAAGATATTGGCTAAAGAGTAGAAACTTTCAATAACTACAGCTGAATAAATACTAGTGTTTAGATAAACTGTTGTATGGTAATCAAAGTTAATCACACCAGGAGATGGAAACATTTTTTACCTTGTTTGTGGCAATTGTTACACAGAGTATACTTAAATTTAAACAAGTTATATACCTTACATATACAGTTTTTGTTAGTTTTAACTCAACAAAGTGAAAACGATATCTTATGAATTTGACGAAACTTCAGATAGTGTTTTTGTGGGTCACCTTTTAAAAGATAAAAGTCCATAACAGCTGAAAAACCTCACTAAGATAATAATTTAATTAACATGATGATATAGAGAGACTGGCTTACACATGGAGCTGTTAAATGCTACTTTAAGAAATTAATAAAACATTTTAGGATCTAAAAATAAAGCAGTAAGATTAAGAGATATAAATAAAGCTAAAATTCAAAGTTCAAAATTCAACAGACACTTGCCAAAGGCTGAATATGTGCTAGGAACTGGGATCAACAATAAAGTGATAAGGCAAGATAAGCATTTTCACATTTTAACATGCTGAGGATGAATCTTGGGGCCTCACAAATGTCAGGCAAGGACTCTTTTAACACTGAGCTATACCTCCGCCTTTTGTCTTAAATTCTAATGGCACAGAGAGATGTGAGATATATTAATACATAATGTATACTATATAGCCGTAAGAAGACAAGCACTTTGTGAGGGAGAAAGGAAGAGAAGCAGCTGGGTAAGTAAACGGCTGGAATAAGATGGTGAAGAAGCTAGAGAAGTAGTCTGGAAAGGTCTCTTGAGAGCAGATGGCCTGAATGAAGCAAAGGCCACATATGTATCTGGACAGAGTCTTACAGGGACAATACAGCAAGAGCACAGGCCAAGAGGCCCATGAGCTCTTAGAAAGTATGGAGAGTATTGAGAATGAACGTGGGGAAGGAGAAGCACATTCAGGGTTCATTCTTACATGGTCGGGAAGTTTCAGTGGAAAACAGCTTTGGATTTTGTTTCACAGACAGGAAACCTAGAGAGCTTTATAAGAAGAGGAAAGACAATTGATATTTTAAATAGACTTTAAATGGGCCACTCTGGCCTTTTTAAAGAAGACTGTACTAGAAGGGCATCAAAGGTAGTAACAAGATTATATTCTAATGCCAGGTGACTTCCACATTTGTCAGAATCCAATTGTCTTCCAACTGTCTCACGGTTATTATATGAATATTTAAATCCATCTAACCTTTGTTGCTTTTCCTTTTCTTAACCAGCAAGTCTCCACCTGAGCTTTTGTGCCAGGTCAGTGTTAGATACTTCTCTAAGACAGCACAGCTGACACTAACTTCTAAGAGAGTAGTCTCATCAGGGTCATTGAACAAGTGAAGGGTAAGGAGCTCCCATGTGCTCTCTAAGCACGTAAGACAGACCTAAACCACTCTTTCACAGTTCAGATTACATTTACTCAAATCAAAACACTAAGTTGAAGTGACTCAAGGTAGCACAGAAAACCTAACTGTGGTAAGTTTGGCCCCCATAAGCTCACAGGCAGTGGCACTATTAGGAGGTGTGGCCTTGTAGGAGTAGGTATGGCCATGCTGTAGGAAGTGTGTCACTGTGGGGGTGGGCTTTGAGGTCTCCTATGCTCAAACTATGCCCAGTGTGGTACATAGTTCACTTCTTGCTGCTTGTGGATTAACATGTAGAACTCTCAGCTCCTTCTCCAGTACCACGTCTGCCTGCAGGCTGCCATGCTCCCTGCCATGATGATAATAAACTAAATCTCTGAAACTGTAAGCCATCCCAATTAAATGCTTTCCTCTGTAAGAGTTGCTGTGGTCATAGTGTCATTTCACAGCAACAGAAAACCAACTAACCCTCTGTATCTGTAGCACTGCTGATAACATTAGACAGCTTGGTCTTCAGGCTTGTGTACGTTGTGGTATTCCTCACATCACTCTCATACCGTCCTGTGCCCAGGGATACTATACACTCTAATGGTGCATCGGGCCAGATACATTTACACTCATGCATGGCCAGGGCTGAAGGGTTATTCAGAAGCAAACCTCCATCCTGTAAAACATAAGTCACAAGAGCAGTTCAGTACTTACTACAGGGAAAAATCTAACAGTGTACTGAGTGATTTATAAGAGAGTCCCTTCAAATGGATTTATTCATATACTACAACTGCAAAATCCACCAACTAAGATGCTAAGTTTTAGTTTCATATTTTGAACAACTTTTCTGGATTACTGTGTATATGTCACTCAAAAATACTGAGATGAACTGAAAAATCTAAAAACACTTTCATGTAGTATTTATTGACTATGTTCACACACTTGAAGGTCAGAGAAAAACTTCTGCCATATGGGTCCTGGAGAATGAATTCAGGTCAATGGACTTTGTAGCAAACACCTCTACCTACTGAACCATCTTGCTAGCCCCTGAACCAAACAATTTTTAAAGACACAGGATAGTTAGCAATTAATAACAACAAAACAATCTCTTATAGGTTCAACATAAGTTAATGGAAATTTAAACAACATAATTTTAAGGTATCATATCCACAGTACAGCTATACTCTGAAAAAAGCAGGAGAAAGTTTGAACTTCTAAGTCAGTGGTTCTCAACCGCTGACTGTGACCCCTTTGGGGAAAGAACAACCCTTTCACAGGGTCACCTAAGATCATTTGAAAACATACAAATATTTACATGAAGATTCATAACAGTAGCCAAATTACAATTATGAAGTGGCATCAAAAATAATTTTGTGGTTGGAGGTCACCACTACATTAAAGGGCCATGTCATTAGGAAGGTTGAGAACCACTCTTCTAAGTGTTTTTCAGTATCTATTTTTTGATGCAATGTAAAATATGCTGATAGAGTAATATAAAAATAAAAAGTATTTAAAATGATGGCCAAACTATAATAGAATGACTCACATAGTAATATTTAAATGTATTTAATTACTATATTGATACTGAGCTTAAAATCTAGCAACATACATCTGACTAAAGATATTTTAAGTAACTATGTAGGTTTTTCCCTAGATGGCTTCCACATGTATCCCACTGTAGATGTATGATTTGTATTTCAATAGTCTACTTTCTTCCTGTCATTTACTACCTTTTGGGTTTCTAAGATTACTTCTGCAAAGGAAAAGTTTCTACTTCTGGTGAAGTCCAACGCACCAGTGATTTTTGTGGAAGAACAGTAACTCTGGGTTTATGTCAAGGTTTTTGGTGTGTGTCTGTGAGAAAGAGAGAGGTGGGGGCAACAACAGTGACTAATTTGTTGAGCAGAGTATCCTTGGGCTGCAGAGATGCTTCCCTGGGTAAAGTGCCTGCTATTTAAGCAACAGACCCTGAGTTTGGATCCTGAGCACTTAGTAAAAGCCAGGTGTGGTGGTAAATGTTGTGTCTGTAACCTCAGCACTAGAGGAGAGGGGCAGGCAGATCCATGGAGCCTAATGAGCAGCCAGTCTAGTCAATTGGTAAGCTCTGGGTTCAGTGAGAGACCGTCTCAAAAAACAAGGTGGAGAGCAAAGACACCTAGTGTCAACCTCTGGTATTTACACAGATTGCTCACACGCACTAGACACACATGCATAGTCTCTCCCACAAAAGCACTATCCTTTCTTTGACTTGCTTTGTATCTTTATCAGAGATAGAGGTCATATGTATATAGGGTTATTTCTGGACTGTTGTATTTTACACACACACAGAGAGAGAGAGAGAGAGAGAGAGAGAGAGAGAGAGAGAGAGAGAGAGAGAGAGAGAGAGAGAGAGAGAGAGAGAGAGAGAGGAGACAGAGACAGAGAGACAGATAGACAGACAGACAGACAGACAGAGACAGAGAGACAGAGACAGAGAGAGACAGAGAGAGACCTAACTCAGGTGTCCATGAGGTCAGAGGCATCAGATCCCCCTGGAACTGGAGTTAAAGGTGGTTGTGAACCTCCTGATGTGGGTGCTGGCAACCTAACTCAAGTCCTCTAGAAGAACAGTAATTGCTCCTAACTACTGAGCTTCCTATCATTCAGTGGTTAAGACCTTTCTTAAGGCGTTTTGTTTTGTTTTTTAACCTGAGGGTTTTTTGGCAATAAATTAAAGATAAGCAAATTTTAAGAGTTTTAAAGACAGTCACACAGGTCAACTTACTTGATGAAGATCATTCCCCAGTGCATATTCTGCAAAGTAGCCTGGAGCAGCTGATGAGGCTCTAATGGCTTGCCACAGTTTATACTGACAGCCTCCTAAATAGTGAGAGTTGATGCCAGGAAAATGACTGTAGTTTCTGAACACAAAAGCTTTTGGTGTCAGTCCTCTGTTTACTATGGTACTTACAGCAGCTACCTAAAGAGTTAAAAAAGTAAACAATATGACTATTATTAATCATAATATCTAGAACCTTTAAAAACGAAATACTATTTATTATTATTTGTTAGTTATTTTAAAGGCAGGGAATCTCATTCTGCAACCTTGCTTGGCCCAAACCTCACCATGTAATCTAGGCTGGCCTTGAATTTGTGCAATTCTCCTGCCTCAAGCTCCTGAGTGCTGCAATTACAGATGTGAACTGCCATGGTCCACTGAATACTATTAGTTATACATATATCCACAACACCAACAAGAACAGTGTGTAATATAAAATACTCAAAGAAACTACATGTTTGTTAGGAGAGAAACAAAGGTAAGAAAGAAAGGTAAAAGCTGTGAGACAATTGTGATATTTATTAGATGGGAACAATAATAAAAGGTACATTTGAATATGTGACTATTTTAAAAGACTCAGAATGGTACACATTTCTAAAGTAATAACTAATGCAATAGTGTCAGCAATTAAATAATTACAGATCAATAAATTAGTCTGTTTTTATCTTACACCTGTCAGAATGGCTAAGATCACTAACACAAATGACAACTCATGCTAACAAGGATATGGAATAAGGGTCATCCATTGCTGGTGGGAATGCAAACTTGACTAGTCAGTATTGGAATCAACACTGATTCCTCAGAAAGTTGGAAATCAATCTACCTCAAGGTCCAGCTACACTGCTCTTAGGCATGTACCCAAAGGATGTTCCATCCTACCACAAGGGCACTTGTTCAACCATGTTCATTGCTGCTCTATTCATAATAGCCAGAAACTAGAAACAACCAAATGCCCCTCAACAAAAGAATGGGTGAAGAAAATGTGTTATATTTACACAATTGTATTACTCAGCTGTTAAAAAAAATAACATCAAGAAATATTCCATCCAAATGGATGAAACTAGAAGAAAACACCCTGAATGAGGTAACCTAGACCCAGAAAGATAAATATGGCATGTATTCACTTATAAGTAAACATTAGCCATTATAGAAATGATAATCAACCTACAATCCATAGATCCAGAGAGGTTAGTCATACAGAAAGGTACTGGGTGGGGGGATGGATCTCTCTGGGAGGGGGAACAGATTTTACAGGTACACTGGGGGCAATTAGGGATGGGAATGGGATGATCAAATAGGGAGGGGGAGGGGAGATAGGGTTGAGGGAAAAACAGATGGAATTGAGGAATACTTGAGGGATGATATGGAAACCTACTGCAGAGGAAACTTCCTAAAATATATGAAGGAGATCCTAATGAAGTCTCCTAATAATGGGGGATACAGAGTCCCAACTGGCCATCTCTAGTCACCAAACAAGGACTCCAGTGCTGGAACTGAGTTGCATCCAGTTGAGCTGTTAGCTGAGGGGGCCCATGGACATCCCCAGACATTCCAGTTTGTTGCTAAGACTGGATTGCTCTCCACAAACTGACAGCAGCTGAAACTGCTGAGGACAATCCCCACACAACTCATTCAACATGATGCCTTCACCCCTGTGTTCTGGTGTCTTTGGTGCGGGAAGGTTCTCTGCAAGCTACCAAAAGAAAAAGCTAACCACAAACCCAGCTATAAAACCTTTGATCTACAATCTGTCCTGCCTACAAGATATGCTAGGGCAATGGCAGCACAGAACTTATGAGAGTAACCAATCATTGTCTAATTTGACTTAAGGCTCAATCCATGAGACAGAACCCACACCCTGCACTGCTTGGTTGATCAAGTATCAGAGCTCTACCAAATAGCCCAAAGATCTAGGGTAAAACCAAAGACTACTGTTCCAAAAGAAAAAAGTACCAATAAAATCACTCCTAATAATATTATGCTATACTCATAGACCAGTGCTGTATTCAGTCCTCATCAGAGCAGCTTCCTCTTGCAGTAGACAGGAAAAGACGCAGATCCATAGTCAGAATTAAAGAGAGAGAGTCCTTGGAACAAATAGTTTTAAATGGGATGCTTCCATCAAATCCCTCCCCTCAGAGCTCAGGAAATCCTTCAGAAGAGGAGGCATGTTGGAACATGGTCTATGAATGAAGCTATGTGAGATTTCTGAGACCTTGTGAGAAAACTCCAAGTAAACAAGACAAGAGTCTTATAATCTCTGTTCCTCCATAAATGAGTTGTTCTTGGAATGGGCTTTCATGTTCCTCCTAGTGGAGTGGATAGGAGTCAGTTTACTTGGGATTATTCATTACTACTAGCTATTCTTTGTTTATATGTCTCTATGGAAAACCATGTTTTTGCCACTTGCAGCTTGTCCTTGTGAACAGCTTGAACTCATGAAACCTTTACTCAGGTGACCTTTCTTAACTCTCAGGGTATAAACTGTCTGATGCTCTAAATAAACTTGGATATTGCATGAGACTTTAGTCTGCCTCATTTATAGGGTCCATTCTCCCAGGTCCCACTGACAACCAGAGTGGTAAACAAAGGAGAAAGAGTGTAAGAGCCAGGAGGGATGGAGGAAACTAGGAGAACAAGGCTCTTTGAGTCAAATTGGGAAAGCTCATATAAAGTCACAGAGAGTAAAGCAGCAAGCACAGGCCTACATGGTCTATACCAGATCCTCTGTGGATATATTTTAGTGTTCCATTTAATATCTTTTCATGGGAACCCTGAGTGCTTGAATGAGTGGGTCTCTGATTCTTGTGCCTGCTCTTGGGGCTCTTTTCCTTTTGTTGGGATACTTTATTAAGCCTTGATAAGATGAAATTTGCCTTATCTTATTATATTTTATTTTGTTATATTGGTTATTAATTCTTAGAAGCTTGTTCTTTCCTAATAAAAGAAAGAGAGGGAGAAGGGCGGGGAGCTGTAGAGGAACTGGGAGGAATAAAGGGAGGGGAAATTGTAATCAGGATATATTGCATGAGAAATGAATTATTTTCAATAAAAGTAAAGAAAATGGAGAAAAAGAAAAAATATTGTTATTTTAGCAAAGCTAGAGCATAGCCCTGCACAAATTCTCACAGCTTTCAAACCGTAGGCCAAAGTTTTTCTGTCCTGTGTAAAGCCCTGCTAGGGCCCTGTTTGCTTTTTCACTTAATAAAGAAAGGTTCTGTCCTATATTTCTGTAATTCATGGCTCTTGGTGTCTATGGGTGTCAGATGGCCATCCACTAAAATCCACAGGGTCTTTCTTTAACTGGGATACAGAGAAAAGGTGATTAAGAATCCAATGGGTGGCTGCTCTGTTTGTCACAACAAAGAACCTTTGGGTATGGCTCAAGTTTTTCCATGCTGACATAGATTCCTTTACCCAAAGTTGACAATTTCCACAACTTGGAAGCAAATATTCAAACAAAAACAGAGGCCTAGTGATGCAGAAGAAAACAACAGAGGGGTCAGTAGGGCACATCCTAGGGTCCTCTCCCAAGGAATGAAGTCATCTCTTTGTCATGGTCTTCAAGGCCACTGAGTGATCTAATCTGCCTACTGCTCCAGTCTCATCCCACATGCTGCCCTCCCAACCTTGGCCCCTAGTCTTCAGGAAGGCTGGAATTCTCTTTGTCCTTTTGCCAGGAATGCTCCTACTTTCCAGCCTTTACAATGAGGTCTCACAAAGTAGCCTTCCTTACATCCCTTAAAATGTATGCTTTCCGAGAACTGCTAGCGTGTTCCACAGCATCCACTTCAGGAAACTACTTCATTTGTGAGATTATTTAATTAACAGTCATAGTAAGTAAATAATTCACAGTCCTATAATTCCATGTAAGTGTCCAGCTTACTTTATTATTCTAAAGTAATAACTAATACAATATTATCATCAAAAAACCAATAATGATTAATATAGTATATTTACAAGTTGTTTCTCTGTGCTTTGAAAGCATTATGCATTTAGTAAAGCCACAGAATTATCATGCACAAATTCAGTGTTGCCACAAGGCACACAGCATTCACAAAATGAAGGTATGAAAGTAACGATGTTAAAATCTAAGCAGCAAAGGAGAGGCTACCTTAAATGCCCTCCCCTGATAATGAGATTGATGGCTGTCTTATATGCCATCCTATAGTCTTCATCCAGCAGCTGGTGGAAGTAGAAGCAGACACCCACAACTAATCACTGAACTGAACTGGAATCCAGTTGCAGAGGAGGAGGAGTGATGAGCAAAGGGGTCAAGAACAGGCTGGTGACACCCACAGAAACAGCTGACCTGAACACTGGGGAACTCTTGATCCCCAGACTGATAGCTGGGAAACCAGCATGGGACTGATCCAGATCCCCGGAACGTGGGTGTCAGTGGAGAGACCTCAGAAATCTATGGGGCCTCCTGTAGTAGATCAGTATTTATCCCTAGCATAACAATAGACTTTGGGAGCCTATTCCACATAGAGGGATACTCCCTGAGCCAAGACACACAGGGGTAGGCCTAGGTCCTATCCCAAAGGTATGACAGACTCTGAAGACCCCCTATGGAGGGCCTCGCCCTTCCTGGGGAGCAGAAAGGACAAGTGATAGGCAGGATGTTAATTGGGAGGTGGTGGTAGGGGAGGAGGGGAGAGAGAGGGAACTGGGATTGACATGTAAAACAATCTTATTTCTAATTCAAATTAAAAAAAATCTGCAAAAGAAAAAAAAAGGAAGTGACATTAAAAGAGTAACAGAGAGAGTGGTTTCTTGATTTTGCTTCCTTACAGCATGTCATTCAAGAATAAATAAATGCAAGCCACCGGGGATTCCTATAATTATAAAATTATAATCCTCATCAAACAACTACTGTTAAAACCAAGATAAAGCAATTTCAGATTGTGGCATTCCAAGCAAATCAATGAATGAATAACTACATAGAGACATACCTGACTCATTTTTTTTTTTAAACTGGGATTCCATTTGTACACTAATATAATCCTATTGATTATATATATTATATACAACTTCTCTTTAAAAATCTAAGATAAAAATCCTTTAATTTCCCTTAAATCACTAGATTTTGTTAAATTGATTATGATAAAATATTATTCTCTATTTTCAGTCACAATTCATGTTTTTAAACTTTTATTACACTTTTACTATATACAGAAATAGTCTAATGATTCTATCCTGTATTTTAACAGAATGACCTGATAGGAATCAATAACATCTATTGAAAGGAATTCCCCAGAATGCTTCTCCTTATTGTGACTACTCATAACACATGCTTTCTTCAGACTCTGTGATGGTCTACCTATGAGATTTCAGACTCACCTTAGGACATGCTGGGTCTCTTGCTGTTTCAATCATTAGTGCAGATCCCATTCTATCCCTTTATTAAACAAGAACACGTGAGTTATATCAAAACTATTAACAATCAAAGACTACACACTTGCCTATAGCTTTTATAGTACTAAAACAGACAAAAAGAACTTTAAACCTCCAAGAGGCTTAAATCCAATTAATTCTTATCACACAGCAATAACATATTATGCAAATTAATGAAGACACTCTCAGGAGTTATAAAATAAAAACAGCATTGAATGGTGTATTATTGGCTTTGTAATTTTCTTTTATACATTTATTGGAACATCTTAGTATTAATACTTCATGAGAAATGATATGAATTATTCCTTCCTAGAGGCTCAGAAGACCAGGAAATAACATTTAACCTGCAATAACAGGTATGGTGACTTTACAAGATGAAGGATATAAATGTATGTCATCATGCTATACTGATAATCCCTACAAAATTTCCCATGGAACCATGGTTTTTTTTTTGTTTGTTTGTTTGTTTTTCAAGACAGGGTTTCTCTGTGTAGCTTTTAAACCAAGCTGGCCTCAAACTCACAGAGATCTGCCTGTCTCTGCCTCCCAAGAGCTGGGATTAAAGGCATGTGCCACCACGGCCGGCCCAATGGAATCTTTTTAGTATGACAAAAGTAGCTTACGATTCATTTTGATGATTAAGTGAAAAAAGTGAAATGTATTTCTGAGAAAGAGGGAAAATGATTTATTTCATTAAAAATTAAAAATCTACAGATGTAGAACAAAAATTAATAGGAAAAAAACTTAAACATAGACTGTCAAATCTATGAAATAAGAAAATAAAAACAGTAAACTCAATGTTCGAATTGCATAAAAAACAAAGCTTGACTACCATTTCAATACACACCAAGATTATTTTGAGATATATAGCTTACTTAAAAGCTTAGCATTAGATTAAAAATAACAATTATTTACTTAATTTCAGGATAGAAAGTAATTTTATAGGCATTAAAACAAAGTTAAAAATCATTAAGAAAAACATGGTTAAATGAACATTTGTAAATCCACTACATTAAAAATATCACTGTATCACTCACTACAAATGTTTCTTGATGCTGGGGAGACATTTCGTGGGAAAGGGCAGGGCACTTGCTGTGAAATCAAGAGGACATGAGCTCAGGTCCTGGGCACTCACAGGAAAGTGAGACAAGAACAGCCACATCTGTTGTCCTGCTTTGGGGACAGAGACCCGATGGTCCCAGGAGCTCACTGGCCAACTAGTCTAGTCAAAAAGGCAGGCAACCTTTAGGTTCAGCGAGGGTCCCTGTTTGAAAAACTAATGTGGAGAGTGATGTAGTAAGACACCAAATCACCAAGAGGCAGGGGTGGGGCAGGTG